CCATTTGGATTTTTATAGTCCCTGTTCGGCCCTTTGTTGCGGTTATTTCCGCGTCCACGTTTAAAGTGTCCGCGAGCACCACCTTGGATAACATTTGATTCTGGTGCTGAACCACGATCAGGATGGCCAAAATTTGTAGGGCTACAACCGGTGGGCCTCATGTTATGATTTTTCATTAAGAGCTCATTATTCTGCTCAGCAACAAGTAATACTGAGATTAACTCAGAATACTTTTTAAAACCTCTTTCTCGGTATTGTTGCTGTAATATCACATTTGACATATGCATGGTGGAAAAAGTTTTCTCCAACATGTCATGATCAGTGATATTATGCCCACATAATTTTAATGTGGACGTGACTTTAAAAATAGCAGAATTATAGTCACAAACAGATTTGAAATCTTGGAATCTTAAATTGATCCATTCATATTGAGCTCTTGGCAATAGGACCTTTTGTTGATGTCCGTATCTCTCTTGGAGATTATCCCATAATTCCTTCGGATCTTCCACCAATAAATATTCAGATTTTAAACTTTCATGAAGATGGTGGCGAAGTAAAATTATGGCTTTTGCCTTTTGCTGAGATGATGATGTATTATTTTCAGCAATTGTATTTTCGAGGCCATTAGCCTTAAGGTGAGCAAGTGCATCAACCCTCCATTCCAGGTACCTTTGACCAGATAAATCAAGGATGTCAAATTCTCTTTTGGTGATGTTGGCCATGGAATAGACTACAATACAATAAGTTTAAATTTATTAGTAATGTTATACGTATGAAAATAACTTGGATGAAAAATTATCCATTTTTTTAATAAAAAAAACACAGAGAATCTAAAAGGAATAATGATATTCATGTAATACAAATTACTGAGTATTAAAATTCAAAATAAATTTGTTTTTTTTAAATATATATTAATACTAATGTGGTGTTAAACAAATCAATTGCACAGTCCAAAAAAAAATTAATGTATAATTTATTTGGAAGATGATTCATGTGATCAAAATTATTATTATATTTTCGTGAGTCTATTATTATATATATTGAGTAAATATAGTTGTGCCAAAAGTTAGAATTCTAAAATAATATGAAGTACACATATACTTAAATTTTACCTCAAAACTTATTCAATACCAAACACAAGAAGACACTCCTTAGGCTAAATAATGCATAGTACACATGTGAATATGTAAAGAATCTTTGTACTAGTTATATCACTTTAATTTTAAATTTTAAAGATAAATATGGACCATACAATAGCATCACATTTTTTAAAGTATATTACTCTCCCCTCTCATAGTCATGTTTTACTCCATATATTATTCCCTTCATGTATTTATGCTATATCATATTATCATGTTCTTTCCTTAAATTTAAAAAAAAATCTTATTTGTAAAATAAAGAATAGAAATAATATTACAAAGTGAGATTATCTATTTCTATCAAGAATGTGTTAAAGAAGAATTCAAGAAGAGAAGGAATTGAAGGTAAGTTCATTGATTTCAATGATTTTTTTTTTTCAATCTTAACTACTCCGTATTAAATCTACTCTTTGCTTTTAATTTATAAAAATGATTTTTTTTTATGAGGAAACTTATTCCTTTTAATTATCTAATTTTAATTTTTATAACTATAAGTTTCTGATGTGAAGGATCCCAACTTTGAGCAATCACAGAGCATACTTCTCATAGTTTTTAAGAAAATATTTTAGTTTGTTTATGAAGAAAATTAAATAAATATACCTTCTGAGAAGAACAAGGATTTTGAGATTTTGAGCAAAATTCGTGCTGATAACGTGTTGTAAAATGAGAGAAAAACTACTCAAAGATTATGAGAATAGATATAATATATTTCTGATTTCTTCTCTCTATTAACTCTTCACTCTTCTTCTTATTCTTAATGGTAATTTACAGGGATCCTAAGCCTCTTATTTATAGTAGAGAGGCTTAGTGCTAACACTATTACAAATAGTATACATACTATACAAATGGCAACTTGATGGTGATGAATGATGATGGACAATTTGTT